GGTGGGGAAGGGGGGGCGGAATGGGGGTTGGGGGAGGAGGAATAAGCAAGTAATTAGGCAGGCTAAGAAGAAACTAGCCTTTTGGTGAGATGACTGCTGGTAAAGCTGGGTGTGAGACACATGAGGCTTATTAGTCTAGTCTCCTTGCCTTTGTTCCTGCCTAAGCTTTTCCAAAGTAAAGTTAAAAGAATAAAGGTTATCTTCCAGTTTGCAATGCAATTATACTAGCAAAGCATTAAACATAGGGATTGAAACACAGTAAATGGGACTGGGAAGGTGGCTCAGTGATAAGAGTGCTCGCCCCACATGCATGAGGTCCTGGGTTTGATTCCTCAGCACCATATAGACAGAAACACAGTAAAGGACTCAGTATAGCCATGAGTAGTAACAGCAGTTCTCAGTGACCTCTAAATAAGATGGAAATCACTTACGTGACAGGCTACCAAAGCTCCCGTGTTCCATCCAATCAATATAATAGGTTTATGTGGGAAATGGCTATGAATCTGTGGGAAGAGAAAGCAGCTGGTAAAACAGGAAGCCACAGAACAGTGGTATACTACCTAGAAGGCCGGGCATGGCACATTCTCACCTCTAATACTTTGCTTCTCACTGCACCAATCATGTGCTCCAGACACTGCAGAACTCCAACCCCAATGCCATTGTTCAGCAAATGTGTGGCCACAGGGATGACCTAAAAGAAATAAGTTTCAAAACTTTCTATTCTGCTTAACTTACCTTGAATCCCTTCAATCTTGAACAATCACCATTCAAATGCCAAATAAAAGATGAATTTGGGCGATTCCACAATTGAATTCATCATTAAAAAAATGTTTTTAAATTTTATGGGTTACTGTTTCATAAGTCAGTATATTCCTTTTTGAACAATGTCATTCCTTTCTTTGCTCCCTCCAAGTTTTTCTCTCCTATCCCTGCCCACAAGTTGCATAGCTCATTTTCAACACAGTGTTTACGGAGTAGCATTGCTACATTTGTTCACCTTTAGATTTATCCATTTTGATACTCCCACCCTTGGCAAGCTCCTTTCTTTTAATCCTCCATGATCACATTCCCACCTAGCCGAGTTCTTTTGCTTAACACATACCTTGCCTAAGCAGGAGAGCTGAGACTGCCAGAAGCGGTGGCGGCGTGAAGTGGGGAACACAGAGCTGGAGGGGCCAGAGGAGGCAATGAGAATCAGAGGCGAGCCAGGAAGTTTGCTCTGAGGAGAGAATCCCAACCAAAAACAAATGAATGAGAAGTATTCATCCACAAAAATACCAATGAATCTATCCCAATATATTTCTCATCCTCACCTTTTTACTAATGAAACAAGTAAGCTATTTATCATCTTCTAGCCACGGTTCTAGATGACCTAAATACTTCATGTGTCACAGTGAAGTCTGAGTATCCAACTTACTGGTTTGTTATGAGAAAGCACCCCCACAGCGGGGTCCCAAGGCCTTTTGAGGAGGAGGGACAAGGCTTCAGCTCCTGCAGCCCCAGTCTTTGTGTTGGATGACACAAGCATCCGGTCAATCAAGGTTGGGATCTAGAAAGATGAGCAAAGAAGATTCCAGTGTAAAGCAGGATGGCAGGTGCATAACGCTATGCCAAGTCACTGTGCTTCCCTTCTGGCTGAAACAACGGCCACATACCATCATGCTCAGCCAGTAGTTGAGAGGGAATCATTCAAACTTCTTTATTGCTCAGACTGGATTTAAACCGCCACCTTCCAATCTCCACTTCCTGAGCAGCTGAGATTACAGGATTGACCTACCACATCTGGCTAAACCTTTCTTATTCAAGTGAATCAGCAAGAGGACAGAATTCAACTTGGCTTGTCAAACTTTTCTTTGGACAAACATACAAATAAATGAGTGGCCAACAAACAGTGCTCCTGCTATGAAAGTGGGTTTGTCCATTAAAAAGCATCTTGGGACTTAAGTTTATTCCCATTCCTTTTCTAAATGATTATGTTCTTGTCATCCTTGTTATGAAGGTAAGATCAAAAGGATCATAGTTCCATGCCAACTTGTAGGAAAAAAGTTTGGGAGACTACCTCAACAGAAGCTGGGAATAACAAGCATGTTTGTCATCCCACCTAGAGAGGGAAGCGTAAAACAGGAAGATGTAGTCCAGGCAAGTTCCTGAGCCAAAAGCAAGACCACATCTCAAAATAACCAGCAGTACAAATATGGGTTGAAGGTTTGTGCCTCAGTATTAGAATAACTACCTAGGCAAGCATGAATCCCTGAGTTCAAATCCTAGTACCACCACATACACATACATACACGGAAATATACCCACACAGAAGGAAGGGTAAGGACAGTTATACAGAGACCAATTCACTGTCAATAGTAAATAGTAATATAAAAATAATCTAAATGTCTATGTTTAGGTATTAAGAATTACTTTCAAATATTTATAAAAATTTATGCAACACAAAAATAATTTTGTTAATATGTTATAAGTAAAACAAAATATAGGCTGGGTATGGTAGGTTATACCTGCAATCATAGCCACTCAGGATATGGAGAACCAAGTTTGAGGTTAGCCAACACAAAAAAGTTAGAGACTTGCAATTTAACAAATAAACTAGGAGCCAGGCATCAGTGACTTATGCATAAAATCCTAGATATTCAAGAGGCTGAGATCTGAAAGTAGAGGTTTTTGGAGTCAGTCCAGGCAGACAAATCTACTCTAGCTCTACCACTCCTAGCTTGGAGCATTCTTCTCACTATGTGAGAGGCATGGGTAGCAAGGTTACAATCAGAAGCTAGGTGGTCAGAAAGCACAAGGCTCTGTCTGAAAAATACCTAAAGCAAAAAGGGTTAGGAGTGGCTTGAGTGGTAGAGGATTTTCCTAGTAGACTCAAACCCTGAGCTCAAATCTAGTACTGCCAAGAAAGAATAGAAAAGATATAAAAGTTACATTTACTTAAAAAAAGCTGTAAGAGCTGGATGAATTAAAATATATTAAAAGGCCGGGTACTGGTGGCTCATGCCTGTAATCCTAGCTACTTAGGAGGCTGAGATCTGGGGATTGCAGTTCAAAGCCAGCCCAGGCAGGAAACTCCATGAGACTCTTATCTCCAATAAACCACCAGAAAACCAGAAGTGGCACTGTGGCTCAAGTGGTAGAGCACTAGCCTTGAGTTGAATAGCTGAGGGACAACACCCAGGCCCAGAGTTCAAGCCCCTGACCAACAAAAACAAAAATAAAAAAAGCTGTAAGAAAATTTGCCAAAATATTAATGTAATTATTTCTATGGAATTATGGTTGATCTTTTTCCTTTATAGATTTATGTGTGTTCTAGATTTCTTCAGTAAGTAACAGTTGATTTTTCCAATTTTTTTAAAATCCACAATTTCTTCTAGAGTACAGCCTTCAAGCTATAGCATGTTAATTAAACCTATTATTGTATCCACCTCCCCAAATCCTACTATATTATAGATATTGTGATTTATACTATATCCTGTGTTTTTAGTATCCACACAAAATGTTACCTCACAAGTGTGAACGCCACACTACCCACAGAAAGCTCAAAACAGTCTCAGGGCAAGGAAAGGTTTTTGAATATTAGAGGACACATTCAGAATTTTACCAAAAAAAGGAGTTGGGAAGTGGGCTAGAGACTGCAGAATAAAAAGCACTATAGTTTGATTCATGTTGCAAAATTTGAAAAGTAGAAGATAAACTGCTCTTAATTTAAAAAGAAATATACTAGAGGCTAGGAATGTGGAGCAGCGGTAGAGTACTTGCCTAGCATTTGTAAAACCCTGGGTTTGATCTCCAGCATTGAAAAATATAAAAAAGAAATTGAAAAACAACAAAAGTGGACAATGCACTATAGTATAATTTACTCAGAATCTTGTATCTGTTTGTCCCCTATACACATGTATGTTTCAAATAAATAAATTTAGTAAGACTTAAAAGCAAGGCATGCTGGTAGGTGCATGTAATCCCAGAGCCTGAAAGGCTAAAGTAGTTCATGAGAGCCTGGGTTACACAAGGATATCATAGGGGTGGAGGGAGTACACAGACAGAAAAAAAAAAAGATTTCTGGACAAGAAATTAGGGAATTATCACCATGAGCCTGTCCCAGTTAACTCTCAAGTCACTAAATGTGTGGCAGCTGCTGTTACACCCAGCTAAATTCCCCTTGCAGAGGAATTTAATCTACACGGGGAAAGAAAGACACACTCATAAATAACACTGGGGCTTGGATAACTGCCATGAGAAAAACAGAAGTTCCACACTGTTGATTTGAATCACTCAATGGAGGGGGGAGGTTAACAGGTATTTGTCATCTAAAGAAGCACTAAAATAGACTATTAGAACTAGCAGGATTCCAAAAGATGATGAGAGAAGAGAAACTACTAACAGGCAAGAATGTGTGGGGCTTACCCAGGCAGGTGGACTGAAGTCACTTCAGGAAGGTGGATGTAAAGTAATAAAGAAGGTTAAAGCCCAACTGTAAAAGCTCTCTACCACAATAGGACATTCTTTGTAACTCCCCTCCCCGCCTTTTAAGAGCTTGGGTGCTGTCCGTGTGTGTGTG